AAATTCCCTTGTTTGAAAATCCAAGACTGGCAGTTATCATTGTTTAAAAACAATTAGAAAGGGACAGCCAGAAATGAGACATATTTAGAGGACTCTGATCTGCTGAGATTCAATCAAAAGTTCCACCGCTTTCTAGACACTGCTTGCTACCCCTAGTACACAGTCTTTGCATGGAATCTTCACCTCTGGGTAGGAAAAATCAGGACTTGCAGGGGTTGTGAAGGATAGCAATACAGGAATTATCTAGGAAGAAAAATGCAAATCACAGGACTGTACCTCCTAAGATTCCCCTCCCCTCCAAAGAAAGCCTTCTTCCTTTGAATAATTCCTATAGGCATAGTTTACTAAGGAGTTTGCCCCAAGTGACAGTTAAGTCCAGATAAAATGTCACTTGTCTTGAACTTGTATAAAGTAACACACATAATAATTTTTTAAAGAAACCTGCATTGATCAGCTTTTAATTTGTTAAAGAATGGTATCATCAGGGTTTCAATCACATGTAGTACAAGCTGCAGTAAATTATCTCACTACTAGCTAATATGTCTAAGTTGGACAAAAAATACCAAAAAAAATGTACATAGCATATACATTTTAACATCATATTATATGTGGCTTCGCGCACAATGTTGGTGTACTATTATTGCGTAACAAAAACGGTCTCACGCTAGATTTGCTAGTATTTCTCGTCATTCTTAAAGCCAGTGGTCATAAAACTTTGCAGAATTAAACTTCCATCTATGTGCACCCCAAAAAGCGAAATTTTCTGTCTGAAAGAAATTTATTAGTAGAACAATAACAAAATTCCAAAAACAGGTCAGGCGAAAAGTACTGTTTTTCCCCCATTTCTTGATCCAAACGTCACTACTAGCTAATGTGTCTAAGTTGGACAAAAAATACCCAAAAAAATATCGAAACACCAAAAAAAATAAAAAAAATAAAAAAATACAGTAGCATATACCTTTTAACATCATATTTTATATGTATGCATGCATATATAAAACTACAGCGTATGCACATCCCATTCCAATAACTAATTATTTAATTTACTTTTCATAAAAGATAGGTACATGTAAAAACTACTTACCTGTTAAGCTCTGTGCAAATGAAGTTCTTGCTATCCAGGAAGCCAACACTAGACCTGTAATCCAAGAGTTGTGAATCAGTAAATGGTTCAATGCTGCTGGTGATAACTTGTGTTTCTGTAGCTACTACCCTGGGATGGTATTAAATAACTTACAGGTCCATTGAATTTTACTTGGAATCTCAGCATTTCATTCAGTTTTCCCATTTAACTTATAATCTAGGGGTGAAGAATGATAAATACAAGACTTTACCAGAAGGTGAGACTAGCGTTTTTCTTTGCAAGCCCAAGACATTTTAACTTTTAAACTG